AATATATTTTAATGTTATTATTATTTCAATGTCATATGGGCAGGTAACGCTAAGATGCTTACTTATTTTAACTAAGACATGTACCAGAAAAAATCTGCGCGTGTTTTGATGTGGTGTTTACGGAGAGCGTTTATTATTTTAGTTAGCTAATAGTTTTCAAATGTCATTGTATTAACATTATTCAAAATTTAAACAACTTTTTTTTCAAAACAATTAGTTTCAATTGAAATGTCACCAAATAGAGATAGGAAGCAAGAAAATATTTTGCATTTTTTTTGTTAAAAATCCTGGCGTATCAAACAAAACAATTTCTAAAGAGCTGCAAATTGCTTTGAGAACAGTGCAAAGCGTTGTGAAACGATTTCAGGACACTGGTACAATCAAAAGAAAATCAGGAAGTGGAAAAAAAATGTTTTGTTAGATGAGATCTTGATAAAAAAGTGAAAGATGCCTTAGACAGAAAACGGAGACTTCTGTTCGAACTTTAGCGAATAAATTCAAGACACTATACAAAGAATGAAAAAAAAATTGTGTTTATAAATCTTATAAAAATAAAAAAGTTCCTTCTCGTGAAAAAAAGCAAGAAAATGATGCAATTTGTTGTTCAATGCTGCTATATAAAAAATTATGTGCTAGAAAATCTTGTTTGATTACTGACGATGAAACTTATTGCGCTGCATATTTCTGTCCAGACACTGTCCAGGACACCAATATTCTTCAGCAATTAATCATAAGAAACTGAATTACAATTATAAATGCATTGGAATGCAAAAATTCGCTAAAAAATTCTTAGTTTGGCAAGCGATTTGTGAATGTGGTGAAAGAAGCTCTTGTTTTGTGACTACCGGAACAATCAGCACAAGTATATAAATAAAAGAATCCCTCAAGAAACGCCTTTTGCCTTTTTTAAGAACACACACAGTTAACCCATTATTTTGAGTTGATTTAGCATCATGTCACTACTCTGGGACAACTTTAAACTGGCTTAAAGAACATAAAGTAGATTTCGTTGAAAAACACAGCAATCCACCAAATTGCTTCTGATTACGTTCTATCGAAAGATATTGGGCTCTTGTCAAAAGAAAACTAAGGTTTAATGTAAAAGAAGCCAAAAACATTAAAAACTTCAAAAATAAATAGATTAGAGCTACCGAGAAAGTCCAGCCAAAGACTGTGCAAAAACTGATGTCGAGTGTTTTCACGTACAAAACTTCACAAACTTTCTTAAGTGAAATTTAAGAATATTATTACATGTACTTTCAAAATATATATAACATTCAATATTGAAATACAACAGTTTAATTATTATCCTTTAAAATGTTTGCGCAAATTTTTTCTGGTACATGTCTTATTAGTAAATGCAACAGTGTAATGATAAAGTGGTAGAGTGGTTTGGTAGGAGACTTAGTATACAAAAGTTATAAAAATGAAACCAATCATATCTCTGTTATTAATGCGCTTCAATTGTTTTTTGAGAAGCAATCTTATTCCTCAAAGCTCATATTTTAGATGTTGAGAAAAAGTTGAAAGAGACACTATAGAAAAAAAAATCTGATTTAAAATCCCTACCTACATGAATAGGATAAACTTTAAATGCTTATTGTTTTAATTATGGTGTCATTATAAAAAACTTTTATTCTTGATCTCCAAAAATAGTTAACACTGGAAATCATAAAAACTCATGATGTAAATAAAATTATTAAGAGCTAATTAAATGTCATCTTGTTAGCCTTAGCTACAGAAGTAAATATTTAACTTGAATAAACTTTATTAAGAATTACAGTGACTCCAAAGTATTAAGAATAACAGTAGTCCTAAAGTATTAAAAATGACAGTGGTCCCAGTGTATTAAGAATGACAGTGGTCCCAAAAATATAAAACCCCTCAATTTCAACTGCTATTCAGAATTTTAAAATTAAAAAAATTCACTTCTGCAACTTTTCCAGAGGCAAGCAGTAGTTTCTGTACTATTTCCATAGCAGGGCGAGCCACCGTATTTTGGAGAAGGCTTGGAGCAGCTACGAAATTTTGACATCGCACCACCTTCACATGGTTGATTACACAATGACCATTCAGACCACTCAGACCAAAAACCATTTACTATAAAACATCAAAATTATTAAAATTATCTTGCAAATAAGAAAAAAATAAAAAAATAAAAAAAATTAAAAATGAGGTCTACCTGGACAAATGGCATTACTATTACATTCATCTGTGTAATTGCTAATACCAATGCAGGTTTTTCCATTATGTGTTGGAGAAGGATGATCACAATTTCTGCTAAATGCAGTTATTCCATAATCACAAGTTGTTGAACATGATGAATTTTTCCAATCACTCCACATCCCATCCACTAAAATTTTTATATCTATTATTATTGCTGTTTATTGTTGTTTAAATAAACTTTATTTTAATTTAACTTCACAAATGAAATTTATGTACCTCTTCCCTCTTATTAAAAATTTATTTCATTTCTTAATGTTTACACTGTTGTACTCTGTATTGTATGTGATTGTAAAATATTTCAAATTGAGCTTTGAAAATACAAGTTCTTGCTCATAAAAGAAAAATATCACAATGGATTACAATACAAGATTTGTTACTTTTTAATTATCTTTTAAGTTTGATACTCTATAATTCTTCTAATATCACTTATCCTACTTTATGTGGATTTTTAAAATAGTATTTATAATTGACGTGTGTCTAAAGAAGTTTTTATTATCAAAATGTAAATGAAAAATACTTTTTATAATTAAAAAAATTAGGCAATTTGTTACCTGATGAATTTCTAAAAATTGAATGGTGTAAACTAATGGATCCTGTAAAATATTTTTTCAATAAATTGAATTTTTAGATGTTTAGACATTCTTCCTGATGAACTAACTGATGGCAAAACAACTTGTTGAAGAAAAAAATTAGAAAAGTGTTTTTAACTAATTTATTAATGTTCTGTTCTTTAAGAACATTCTATTTGTAGAATACACTAACATAATTTATAAATATATATATATATATATATATATATATATATATATATATATATATATATATATATATATATATATATATATATATATATATATATATATATATATATATATATATATATATATATATATATATATACACACAAGGGTCAATTTAATTTTTTATTAAGTCCCGGACAAAATGTCTGATCTAAACTTGTTTGGGTTGGACAGTGTTCGATCAAATGTTTCAAAATATAAATTTTATTGTTTTGCGGAACCAAATTATACAATCAAAATATGTGTCATGCTATTCAGTTTATATAACGTTAAGGCCGTTTTCCACAAAAAGAAATATTCGTAAGAAGTGAATTTTTTCGTCAAGAAGCACGCGCAGATAAAACATTTCTGGCAATTATGCTGATACAGTGTTTCACTGCACTGAAAAAAAAGTCGGATTCATTTCAACGTTTTGCAAATTGCCATAAGCTAAAACCTATCAAGTTTTGAATATTATATCACGTGACGTCAATAGTAAAAAAAGCAAAAGCACATTGTTTTTAAAATGGCAAAGAAATGAAATTCTTAACCTAGCATTCTTATTGATTTTCTATGAACTCACTCTGAACATTGGTAAGCATAAGTAAATTCATCAAATAAGGAACAAGACTTAAATCAAGAATTTACAAATATAAATTTACGAATGTAAATTTGCACACTGTCAATTTCAATAGTAACACTTCATAAGGCTTATCTTCAAGTAGCCACACGAAGATAAACTTTTTGTGAAAAACCCTATATGGAATTAAACCTGCTGTTCGTTTTTGCAGTAACAGTTTAACAGAAACGTTCACATTAGAGTTTAGCATTTATTTTCTTATACTTTCTATTAAAAAACTTTATACTAAATTATTATATTACGAAATGATATCGCATCTTACATATAAAAACAGTTATGTTAAATATGTTAAAATTAATGCATGAAAAAAATTTTTCACATGTTTTAAAGTAGAAAGTATGCTAAAAAAGTAATATTTGCTTTTAGTTAAACATACAGCACAAACTTATTGCTGCCATTTTTATTGTTGACAAAAAAAAAAAAAGTAGCGCAAAAGAAAGTAATTGGAAATCAAAACAGGGTTTCATCATAGCAAAAAAATTTGCTTTGCGTGAATATTTCTTCTTGGGGGCTGTCCATTAATTATGTTAACAATTTTTTGACAATTTTTACCTCCCACCCTCCACTTGTCAACAAATTGTCAAAATTTTAGAGGCCCCCATATAAAATTACGTCAGCAATTAATTTACCCCTTCCCTTTCCTTACGTAAAAAAAAAAAATTCTTCTTACACATAAAAGTTTATATTTTTAAGTTGTTGTATTACGATTAATAATTGCTAACTTAAAAAATATATATACAATTATTCTGTAAGTTATGAAATACATATTTATATTGCTTTTGCATGGATAGCGTTAGCATTTGGGTAATTTGGTATAACAGTAGTAACCAACATACCCGCCAACAGACCTAGTCCTAGATAATGCTAAATATTTATCATAATATTTTATCATAATTTATGTGCAGTGCAGAGTCACATAAATGTGCCGATCCTCCTTAATTTAACTTCAGACCTAATTCAAATTCCACATCAAAAGCAAACAAATTCTAATAGTCTGGTATAACAAAGTATTGCATTTCATTATTTGTATAAACAAGGGGTTAGCAATCTTTTAAGATGGAAAAACCAAAGTTAATAATTTATAAAAATTTTCCAGTTTTTAAATAGCTGCTAACATCTTGTTTTCAATTTTTTAATAGTATCTGTGCATGAAGCTGAAGAGCCGCATTATAAAATTAAATTTTCAATATCAAATGTTTATACCAAGGGTGGGCGACCTGCTTGCAAGCAGCAGGTTGCTGACTGCTTGTAGATTATATATTTATATAAATCTTCATATGTTTCTACAGCAGGCCAACAAACACAGACTTTGAAAAAATAATAGTGTTACGAGTAAACATCTCGCATGTGCTCATTTAGTTCTAAATGTGTCAGGAATTTTTAAAGCACAACACGGTTTAAAAAAATAGAAATATAGTTAGTGTCATTAAAATACTGAAGGTTGGGTGAGTGTGTAACAAGACTACAAGCGCTGTCTAATTTTCCTTTTTTTTTAAGTTTAGTCTAATTTATTTTAGTGATCAATATCAAGGGTTGAATTAACGCATCGCGATTTGCGATATCTGTTAAATTATCTGGTCTTCAAAGTTTCAGTTTATGGAAAACCACGAAATTTACGGAATAGGCGAATAAACTTTAATTTGTTTGTGAAAATGTTATGAAAAACAAAACATTAAATTTATGACTACAAAAGTATTAATACTACAGTGTTGTTACTTTTATAACACTCTTTTATGTTACATTTATAGTTTATTGTTTGATCAAACAACACATAATCAAGATATTATAAATAAAAATGATTTAGTTAAGTAATTCCAAACTTTAATTAAAGTAGTAATGCATCTTGAAAAAATACAATGGATATTTAAACAATGTTAAAAACCTCAGCAACTTTTACGAATACATATTTTTATAAACAGTTTAGCATTTTTAAACATCTTACTAACGGTCCGGAAAAAACGCGCGTTCACTTTAAAATCAACCAATAAAAAAACTGGTAATTTTCTTATTAAATCTATATTAAAAGGGGAGGGGGGGGAGGAGGAGGCTATAAACTTAAATTTTGTTTTATTATTTAATCAATTAAATCATAATAAAAGTAAAGACAAAAAAATATATTTCTAAATATACTTCTTTATAACTAAAATTTATTAAATTGAACACCTCTGTTTTTAGTTTTAAGTAAATGTCAGTACTACTCTCAGTGGCGAAACTGCGGGGGAGGGGGCGGAGGGGCTTTGGTTAACAGACAAAAAGTGTCCTGATTTTAAACTAATTTTAGGTTGCATGGGCGATATGGGGCTGATTTTGAAAATCGTATTATTTGTTTATAACAAGTCACTTGTTATAAACAAAAAACTATATCTCAAAACAAAAATTCAGTGAAAATTGGCCTTAAAATTAAAAAATATATATATTGGTAACCAATAAATAATAAAACTTTCATTGTAAATCCTCCCCCTTTTTTTATTATTTCCTCCTCCCATTTTATACATCCTAAAATTAGCTTAAAAATAGGACACTTTTTGTCTGCTTCCCCCCCTCCCCCCACTGTAGTTTCGCCACTGAGAGTAGTACTGACATTTACTTAAAACTAAAAACAGAGGTGTTCAATTTAATAAATTTTAGTTATAAAGAAGTATATTTAGAAATATATTTTTTTGTCTTTACTTTTATTATGATTTAATTGATTAAATAATAAAGCAAAATTTAAGTTTATAGCCTCCTCCCCCCCCTCCCCTTTTAATATAGATTTCTCCTAAGAAGTAAATTATCAGTGTTTTCATTAGTTGATTTTAAAGTGAACGCGCGTTTTTTCCGGACCGTTAGTAAGATGTTTAAAAATGCTTAACTGTTTATAAAAATATGTATTCGTAAAAGTTGCTAAGGTTTTTAAAATTGTTTAAATATCCATTGTATTTTTTCAAGATGCATTACTACTTTAATTAAAGTTTGGAATTACTTAACTAAATCATTTTTATTTATAATATCTTGATTATGTGTTGTTTAATCAAACAATAAACTATAAATGTAACATAAAAGAGTGTTAAAAAAGTAACAACACTGTAGTATTATTACTTTTGTAGTCATAAATTTATTGTTTTGTTTTTCATAACATTTTCACAAACAAATTAAAGTTTATTCGCCTATTCCGTAAATTTCGTGGTTTTCCATAAACTGAAACTTTGAAGACCAGATAATTTAACAGATATCGCAAATCGCGATGCGTTAATTCAACCCTTGCAATATTTAAAATATTTACAACAATGCATAATAAATTTATAGAATTTTAAACAATTATAAATGTTCGCTCTGTTTAAACTACCAACGAAATGTGCTGCATCATGCACCTCTATACTAACAATCTTAAGATACTTGTGCACATCTGCGACACAAGTACCATACTTTTAAAACATAATAGAATACTGGAAACATATGTGGAAAGAATTTATTTTTAGTTATCGTTTAAAAACTCTCTTTTAACTGAAATGTTCGTTTAGTCAATATTTGAACATGTTGACAAAAGTCATATCAATTACTATTTGCGGCAGGGTATTCCACTGCAAAACAACATGGTTTGTGAAGAATTTCTCTCTTGACATGCAATTGAGTACTCTTTGCTGTGCAATTCTTTGATTATGACCATGCAAAATATACTTTGACAACAAAAGATGACTAAATGGTACGTGAAAGTTTATTTCATCAAAT